ACAGTATGTGCTATATATAGTACAGGTAAAAAATAAACATGCCAGTGCTCTTTCATGGACAAACTACACAGATTCACTCTCTTTCCATAAAGAATATTTCAGCCTCAGCTTTTATGACAGCTGGCATTAGGAGAACTTAAAATGTCTTTGAAATTTTTGATCAAAGCGTCTATAAAGAAGAACAATATGTGCATTCCTGAACTTGGCAAGTTGGCGTAGAAGGAGTTCTGGAGTTTTTGAGCAAGCAGAGTTCAGATAAAAGCAGATGTACACATTTGGTTTCTATATCTAGACTTTACTTGTTTTCTGGAATAAAAGGCAACACGCCCAGAATCGTCCCCTGAGGTTCACAGTCACAGATACATCTGCTAGTCCATCATTCTGTGTGAACGATAAACACACGTAATTAGGCAAACCGCCTCTAAAGTATCAAGGAAATAATACTCCAGTATATAACACACCAACATAGGTACAGTTGTTTGAGCTGTTCACCTTTTACTGTTAAAAGAAACGGATGATTTTGAGATTAGTCAAAATGAAGCAGTTTTGTCAAGTTTAGAAATAATGTAGTATAAAGGTATTTACGTAGTACTCTGTTTTTAAGAATATCTCTCTGTTTTCCTCATGAAGTAAGACATGTTCTGCTCTTTAGTCAAAAAAAAAATTCCATATTCTACATTAAACAATCCAGGAAAGAAAATTCACTCTTTGCTCACTGTTCGTACTTCACATCTACACTAAAGCTACAACCTAAAAGTTCAGGCCACAAATAGACATTGTGTCATTCTAGGGGATCACATAGCACAAAGTCTGGGAAACTCTGATGTAGAGCTATTTAGGTAACACGGGCTGTGGCTCAAGCTGAGAATTAGACAAGCACAAACCTTCTGCACTGTCTGAAATGAACACTTTTTGTAACACAGTTTTGTACAAACCTGAGGGGCAGCACAGGACCCATGGCAACAACACAATTTACAACAGTTCCACTCATGAGAAGTGAAATAATATAAGCACTCCAGCTGATTATACAGTAGTCTGATTTCACTGTCAGCTGCAAGTAGCCATTATTCCAACACTCATGTGAGCTTGCAGCACAGCGTGGGCACAAAACAGACAATGGCTCAACAACAAAGACACTCGCTTCCAACTGTACTCGGTACGCAAAAGTGATGTGTACTCGCAAAAACAGAGCTTTGCTCAAAATCACCTTGGAGTGTCTGTCACTTTTGGCAGAGGCAGGCTAGTTTGCCTCCAATGTATCACCTTTGAAATTTCAGCAGTTTTTTCAGATTTTACTTGAGTTGCCTTTATATTTAGTTTGGTTTTAAACATGTAAACACACCTTAATCCACACCCTAATCTGACCAGTGAACAGGTCATCAAAATGTGTGGTGTGCATTACCACAGTGCAGAATTGCTTCTCCAATTGTCAAATGTCTTCTTGCCTGCTTGTCTTTGTCCCTGTGGCATGTTTCACAGGACGCTATATAAATCATTCAAGTGTGTGCACACTTGTGAATATCTGAATAAATATTTATGACTGTGTCTGCCTGTGTCTGTCTTCTGTATCCACATACTGTATGTTACTATTTGTATGCTTTGCTGTTCTAGTCTTGTAAGAGACTAGTGCAGAGTGCAGACTTTCAGTTCATTGGTTTCCTAGTCAATGGGCTACATCAGAAGCACAGTTATATTTTGGGAAATGAATGTAGCCAGCAGAAGATAACCACAAGTGTAAACGTGCAAATGCGATTGAGTGCCATTGCTTTCATTGCATAGGAGGTGGTGGACAGCCTCAGTGGCAGTGGGCCAGCAGCTCCAGCTGGAAAGCAGCTGAAGATGAAAAGGAATGCAAAGCGCCCAGATAAATCCTCCCAAAAGATTTAGACACACAGCGTCAGGCCGCTGTGCATCTGGAAAACCCACGCGGAAGTGTTTAACAGTCCAGGGTCTTTGATGTGCATTTATCATTCTGTTTGAAAAACTAACACATATTAGCTTATGGAGCACATTAATTCAAACCCAGCACCAAAGACTTACATCCACGCCATGTTTTCTCACTGGCCAAGGGAAGTCTCCTAATTCACACTGACAATATGAGGTTGATGCAAAAGCAAAACCTCTCCCGTACTTACATTAACAAATTAATCCCTCATCCCTTTTACAACTAGAGAGCACAGTGCATGGAGTCACTGTCAAATAAAGATCAGACACATGAATCTCAAGCTGAGCCATGTAAACTGTAGTCACTGCACACCATTAATAAATTTACTGTTAACAAGATAACTATATTAATATTGTCTGATGGGCACTTGGTTTAGCTTTGCTATAGAGAAACAAGAGGAAATCCACCACATTTTAAACATAATACTCTAGAATCCACAATCCAAGAAATGTGTGTCCTTATATAAACAATTCAACTTCAGGTAAGAAGAGCAGAGGTGGCATATCACACAGAAAAGGCCAGACACAGAAAAGGCCAGATATTTACTGGCTGAGGCTGTTGGTTGGATCATCATCTCATAGTTGCTGAACAGAAAAGATGAAGTGTCATTGGGATCTGTCAGACTCAGCAGGTGACAATGACTGACTGATGAGTTTTACCCATCACAATGTGCTTAACCCCCCCCCAGCTGCCAAGTCCGTGGGGAAACTTTGTGAATATAACATTAAAAACTGTGCACAAGGCTCAGATGTGCAGGACAAGCTAAGGCATCTCCAACTAGACAAAATCTCTCAGAACGTCCAAGCTCAGAGGTTCTTAAACAGCTGGGCAAAATCCATCTTTCTGACAGAATCATTTCCAAAGTCCAACTGGGCTCCTGTATGTACTTCTGAGCTGTGCCCACCTGGGAGTGTGTGTCAGTGTGTGTGTGGAGGGTAGACACAAAGAGAGGATAAAGCATGACTCATTCAATCCAGTATGCGAACTGTGTGTTTGTCTGTGGAGAAATGAGCCTTTCTTTATCCTCTACAGTATGAAAGCTCTTTGCTAGTTTCTTCATGCACCCTTCACTGGTCTGACCAAACGTCTGTGTGACTGCATGTTTGAGTGTGTGTGTGGCTGTGAAACAAAGAGATTAATTGTGCGGACGTCTCCCAGTATCGCTCTCATTTCTCAATAAAATCATCTGATCCTCCAAATTCATACAAGCTGCCTCTCAGCACTGTGTGTGTGTGTGTGTGTGTGTGTGTGTGTGTGTATGTATGTATGTGTTCTTATACTTGTTATATAGTGAGGATCAAAAAAGCTAAAGGGCTAGGGAATGCATTATGTCAATGAGTGTCCTCACAAAAACAGAAGCACAAGTAGGTGTGTGTGTACAACATGTCTGCACTGACAACAACAGACCGTGGCAAGAGTTCAAATCAAAGGATTACACCTCTGCAGCAAATGGACTGAATGAACCGGACCTTGTGGTTACGGTGCTGTGAGGTGGAGCTGGGTGTAGGCAATTCACTTTCACTAACATACAAACCCTGGTGACTATGTTCTCCTTTTCCTTCATCTCCCTGTCATCAGCACAAACCCAGCGTAACTCTGCTCTTACAGCTATACCATGGTTTCTCAACTTTACACTGCATCATTTCTTTGTCTTCTTGTTTTCTCTTTTAGTCAGCGCACGGTTACATTTGCTAAACAGTTACACAGACAACAATCTTGCATTGGAAAATACTATGTATATTGACTAAATGAGACAAATTGGGAATAAGAGTAATAAAGTCAAGATACACTGATATTTTTTATGCTTAGTGTTTTCTCACAAGTGAAGGACAAAATTATTTCCTAACAAGAACAAAAAAGATTGGTTTGGAGAGGAGCGTGGCTGCAACTTGATAAGTAGCTAACAGGCTGTTAGCAACCATTTGTGTCATTTGACCCAAGTTCTATAAATATTATTAACATATTTCTTAGAAATATCATCAGGATCCAAAATCTGAGAAAGTCTGAGACTAAGAAAACTAAAGTCTTAATATAAAATTGACCTTTGAAAGAATCTTTATGTCCTGTGTTCGTCTGAGAATGACCACAGAGAGCTGTCAGTGACTCTACGCTGCTTTACAGATAGATTATTCCTCTGCTTGCTTTTTAATAAGTACTGAGAAACAAACAAAACTAAACCAGGAAAGACACCAGTATCCTCGGCTACTCATTCTGTAGTGCCAGCTGATGGATAAAAATGAAGGTGCCGCCCAGGAGCACAGCCTCCAACCACACCTAATGACTTTCACAGCCACAGAGGATAAGGAAGGGCGGGGTAACAATACGCTGATCCCAAAACCATCTGGAGCAAATGAGGCTCCTCCTTTTAAGCTATGAAACCAGTCAGGCTGCTGGAAGATGCAGATACAACATTTCAATGTGATTTGTGATGTGTGGCTGCTGCAGAAAAATGTGATGCTTGTTTAAAGGGACACTGGGTTAAACAACAACAACAAGTCTCGTGTTCAAAAACAGGATGATATTTCAGAAAGACTGGACGTTTGTTAACTTTTATAGTGACTGGAACAATGAACAGTGGTGATATTGTTCCATTTTGTATAAATATTGTGTTGACTACAGTTTGACATTGTCATTGATTTACTCATTTATTACATTATTAACGTGAATTTTGCTGAACGCCTTTATTGCAGCTTCTGTTAATTTGCTTTTCTCAAGTTGCAATATTAAAAAAGTGAACAGTCAAAACCCACACACTGTCACATTTCCAGTTTGCCTTCACTCTCCTACACAGCATGTTTACACTTCCTAAAAGCTCTTCTGTTCTTCTAAAATCTTTGCGCTCCTCAGTAAAAGTTACCATAAACCAGCTTCCTTCTCCACTTGCTGTTTCTCATTTCCTGGGCCACCACAGTGGGATTTCAGCTTGTTTAGGAAACAGCCCAATGGTCCATCATGACTGAAGTCATTTTTATAAGAATTAAAAACTAAACAAATTAACATTTCAAATTGAACTAAAGGAATGAAATGTACGTAAAAGGCTTTGTGGCCAGTTTACCTGTAAATGGGATCCTGCATCACCAGCATCTTGCTCTCATCCCACATCCACTCCTTCTTCTGAGGAAACAAAACATCAAATTTAAGGTGTTAAATACACAAAGCCATGGACTGAAGGAAGGAAAATACTGATGAATATTAAACCAAAAAATTGCTTAAAATAAAATCAATACATTTACTTCTGCTGCCTCCATTATGATTGACACATTCTGTTATTGGTGTATATTTTATTTTCTTTCCATCTGAGACATTTATTTAGATTGATTCCATTCATCTGTCTGTCTGTTCATTTGATTAAATATATCTTCCAGTTTAAGGTCACAATCAAAATGTCAACACATGAGCACACAGGAATTATTCATATTGATTTCTATCTCCATGGAGCTTTGTTGACTCAGCCATTCAATCACACGTCTGTGGTCTCCGCCGTGAGATGTAAAAAGATTACTGGCCGTCACTCGTGACATTTAAGCTTTAGCCAAATGAGACAAGGAAACAGGTGGAGGCACAGCGGCCTTCTACTGACCGCTTTTTCATTCCAGCACACCAGTTAATTTGATACTGAGCCTTCGATGATGGCATTAATATTTACCCCATCAGCCGATACGATACAGTGTACATGAGGGAAATTCAGAAAAAGAACAAACCGGCCCAGCTGAACTGACCTGAGGACAGTCAGACCCAGTCTCAATGAACCCAAGTTAATTAGATCTAAAATTCTCTAAAGGCTCCTTTTTTCAGTTTTTACACCATTCCTGTCCTTTGCACTCTCCATTTCAACTCAGAAACACTCATTTTCTCCATATGATGACTATAGCACACAGCACAACCAGAACTGGGACCAAGTCAACCAGGCGGACCTGTGAAGACCACAAAGCAATCTTTTTTTTTAATATCAGTTATCAGCCAGCTAACGTCAACACTTCCGTAGGCTGACGGTTCTCTGGGGACCATAGCTACAAGAAATGTATAAAAACAACAACAACAACAAAAAAAAAAATCTGATTTTCTGAAGCTCACCCTTCCAGTTACTGCTGTTCAGCGAGTATGGTGGGCCTTAGAAACTAGCAACTAAAAGTTCCAGTGAGGTTTCTGGTCTGTATGCCGTTTCCAAGATACACACTTACATAAGCTGAGTGTTAATATCAGCATAATGAAGAGGCTGGTCCTTCGTGGACCATTTAGACAACACATTTAAGCCTCCTTAATGCTGTGATGTGAATCTGGCTGTAAGAACAGTCAAGCTCAAAACATCTCCCTTAGCGTGTGGAAGCAGCCATAGGCACTAATTTCACTCCACATCTCGATTAAGTACTAAATTCTAGAAGA